ACAAAATCCATGTCCATCCATGCAGATGCTGGGATGTAGTAATAACAATAACAGTAATTTAATAATAATAATAATAGTAATAATTATAACAATGCCAGCAACAAAAAGGCTGTGTAAGTGTGGGTGACTTCAGGAGGCAGAGTTGCTATGCAGATGCTCCATTATGGTATGTGTAGATCAACTCACAGCATTTCGTACCATCTTCCTGAGTTTAATCAATGTACCTGTGCATGTAGATTTATGTAAGTGAATTCATTTTCTAAACAGGTAGACCAGTGTTACCTTAGAGCCCTTTGGCTTGCTTTGTGGGGAGCTCTTGGCTGCAGTTTCCTCCCTGAGCACACGGTTTCTGGCCTCTATTTGTGTTGTCTCTTTTTCTTCTGCGCTGGCCTCTCACCTGTCTGGTGAGACATCTCCCACCTCATGCCAGAGCAGTCATCATCTCACCCTTAGGGTGTCAGAAGTCTTAATCCTAATTCCTTATTTTCTTTTTCCTTTTTCTTACAGTATTAGGCAGCTTAGTGCTCCAATCCCAAACTTAGGGCAGTACCTGGGTCCAAGCTCTGGTGCTGGTACTTCCATCTGTAACATTGGCATTGGCCAGCAAAGCAGTAGCACTGCCTGGTCCTTTCCCTGCAATGCATATTGTATCCATTTTTATAGTTTCTTTCATACTTTCAGCAGTCTTTATAACAGCAATAATGTCATTCAGATAATTATACTGTAATTGACCTTAGCGTTGAGCATCCTTGGCTTTTACTGCAGTTTGCTTAATACTGCAGTATGGTCAATTATCTTGTAATTCCCACTTTGTTGGGAATTATTGTTTTAATTATTCCACTCTAAATACATCATTTTGGCATAGTAGTAAGGGTACACTGGGGAATGGTCATACTCGTGAATGCTTTAAAGAGTTACCAGCTTTAACATGTAGGAAGGCTTTTCATCTTGTCATCTCTAGTCATTACTTTTAACACTGATTTCATTTAATTATCACTTAGTGTGCTCAGGCCAGGTCTTATCTGGAGGAGTTAGCATATGGGGAGTTGGGGCTTACAGCTGGATAGCTGTACAATTTGATTTATGATTTCCACACTGATTTCTGCCACATTATGGTGGGAGCTATCTATGTTGATGCAGCTAAATTCCAGTGGAAGGTGTGGGTAAAATTGTGTGGGTTTTTTTTTTTGTTTTTTTTTTTTCCCTAGAAATTTGAACTATTAATTATCCCAAATAGACAGTGAGTATGCTGGTGAGAATTTAATGGCTGCATAGGAGGCTTGCGTGGCTCTCTTGGTAGCGATTTAATTTGCACCTGTATTGCACTGATTCTCCGCCAGGAGCAGCACCCTGATGGTGTTGGAGAGAAAACAGCATGGTCCTTCTGGTGGGAGACTGTTTCTGTTAGCACTGTGCTCAGTACTGCCCAAAACAGAGACTGAGTCATAGCATGCTATGTTCTATAGCCTAGTGCAAAAAATACTGTGGCTCCAGAACTAGAAAGACACTGTTCCACTTCTTAAGTAAATTTTGTGAACCTGGCAATGTGTTCAGCCTTTCTATAAATGTGTACATTCATTGTTTTTTGTCAGCATTTTGTGGTATATTTACCATGAATAAAAATGTTCTACTGAAGCAGAAAATGAAAAACTGGTATTTTTTGCTCAAACACAAACCAAGTGTAACCTACTTTCACCAAAGAGTATTTCTTCCTATGTCTAATACATGTATAATTATTACATGTAAGCAAACTCAGCATTGTTTAGTAGGAAAATGCTACTCTTCAGTAGATTAATGCATTTTATTGAAGAAACTAGCAGTGTAAAAAGACTTTATTTCTCTATAAATTTTAATAGTTACTAAAACAAGGACTCTGGGCCATTAAGTTACAGCCTGCCAAGTCATAGTGCTGAATCACTTAATTTCTCCAAGTAACTATCATATTGCAGCTTCTTAATGGCAGCTGTTAGGAGAGCACTGATGTTTTAATCAAGGAACAGGGCAGAGTCTGTCAGCTGAACAGTGTGTTTTAATGGGGTTTTCTTTCACAGTCTGGAAATGTAAGGACCTCTCTTGGAACTTGTGGGCTTGCACATTCAGGAGCCAAAGCATGGGTGGGTACAGGATTATTTTCAGGAATCTGGTGTCAGTGGAGACCATGAGGACACTATTACATCCCAGTGTTTCTCAAAGAAGGTAGGTCCTTATCAGTGCTTATAGACTGAAAAGCTGCTACATACAGTGGAGGGAACTCAGTGTGTGTAATACTGTTGTCTCTCATACAGTGAACATAATAGGCATCCAGTCCATAGGAAGCTCTAGACCATAGCTCATTGTCTATATATGTGGCATATCTTTATTACTTAGCAAAAGAGATAAATTTAGATCTGTCAGCAAGAGTACCAGAGATCCATCCCATGAAGTCACTGATCTTTATGTGGCAGGTGCATTTCACGTTGAAGGGAAAAGAAGGCAGTTCTGCAGGGTTATTGGTAGGCTGGCTCTGTGCAAGGAGAGGGGTGTGACGGTTGAAAGTGGGAGTGTTTAGATTTGTTCTGTAGTAGTTGACTCGTGAGGCAAAATAATGTCAGTACACTGGCCTAATTTCAGATTGGGAAATGAGGTTCTGCCTGCTGTTAGTAGGTGAGTTGTCTCCGTTTTTTCTGTTAATGTCAGGTGAGAATACTATGGGAGGATCTTTTCATATTGGTATAAGGTTAGATCCATCAAGCAATAAAACCATTAAGCAGTGTGCATTGCCCCAATGCCCAATGTGGTGCTCATCCTTTAATGTGCTAGTGATAATTAGCTACTTTATCTTTCTAGTAGGGACCTTCAATTTATTACTTTATTAAGTAGTGAAATCAAAGATTAAAATGGTATCTGTAGCACATAGCTAACCAGATTGTGAAAAATGGAACTGTATGGTTTCAAATTTATGAAAATAAATATTTCTGTTTAAATAAGTGCAGTAGTTTAATTCTTTAGACACCACTTTAATTTGTAGCTTATTGGTGATTATTTTTCTTCGTTTTAAGCAAATTGCTTTCTGTAGGGTGAAGTTGAGAAATAATGAATTGAATTCACATTACAAGCTTCTGCCTTCCAAATTGTAAATGAATATAAATGTAGTAGGAGCATAGTATAAAAATCTTTTGCAAAAAGCTATGCTATATCATTGCAGAAACAAATACATTTTTCAAATCATCAGTTCATTTAATGTTGTGTTTCTAGTTGGCCTTTATTTTAAGGGCTTCTGTACCCTGGCACTGCTGTCTCCAAATGTCTTAACATGTGTTGTCGCTTCAGAGCAAAAAATAACTCTGTTAGTTTGCGTTATTTGCTATAATCGTTGATTAATGATCTGCTTTAAAACTAAATTAGTATTTTAAGATGTATTTGCACAGTATGGGAAGGCACAGACTGTGCTTTCAACGCTAGCTTTGTTCTAAAATTTTTATTTCCACTCGATGTTCTTAGAGAGTAATTAACAATTACCAGTCAAAAATAAGGAAGATTTTTGCAAATTCTACTACTTACTTAATCTGAGCTACTGTTCTCAAGAACTGGAAATTTCAGCAAAATGGAGAGGAGGACCTGTGTCCCAGTAGGTAGTAATGTTCTTTTATGTGACTTGGAAAATTAAATAACCACAGCTTAATTTCTGTGCTTAAGTGTTCTGAATCCTTATCAAAAGTCTGTGATAAAATAAGAAAAAGAAGAAATTCTGTATTAGCAATGGAACAGAAGTTACTCTGTGTAAATACTAATTTCTTGGTTTGTATTTGTGTTAATAGCTGCACTGAAAACCCCAAAACCAAATCGCTGCATTGTGTAGTTTAATGTGGAACAACAACTGTCCATCATGCATGGAGGAAAAAACCCCAAACAAGTATTTCTGGATGAATGGGAGGATCTAAAATCCATCAGTCAAGATTTCTTTGGTTGTTTCTCACCACCCCAGTAAAAAAAGAGGACAGAGATGGAAACAGTCAGCAGGATTTCAACTGACAATTATTTTCTTCTCCATTGCTGTCCTTTCCAATTCTGCAGAAAGCCTGAACACATCCTTACTTATGTACATTCAACCACTGACTTCAGAGTGAGATAAAGTTTAGTGCATGCTTAAATGCTTTCTTGAACTAGGGCCAAAAGCTGCTGCTGCTACTAAAATCAGTCCCAGAGGGAAGGTTGCATCTTTCATTGCTTCTTTTTTTTGTATATGAAGATACAGGCTCCACAAAGCTTTGGAAATATGGTAGAATTCGATAAATGTTGCCTGCCTTGTTTAAGGGAGCAGAGTGGAGTTGTTGGATGATAATGCATAAAGCACACATTATCTTTCTTTCTTTCCTGCCCATATGTTTGCTCTTTAGCAATCATTACTAGGTGAGAACTCTAGAATAGTAAGAGAATCACTGAGCCAGTCTGTGTTTTGTTTCTGTCTGCTGCAGGCATAATCTGTAATTGTAAAAGGCAGCAAAATAAAGTGAGTTTAGGTGTTTTCTCCTGTTCTTGCCTGCTTCAAAACTGTTCAGAAGCTTGCTTCTTTCTTTGGTAGAAATCTTCATTCAAATGTTTGCTGAAGTGTGACTTGCCTTGAGCCTCTTTGTTCTTTTTGATTTACACAGGCAAACACACACACATGTGCAAACACGCACCCCTCTTCTGGGACTATTGACTTAACCCTGGATATTTGTAGAGGAAACAAACCAAAACAAGACCAGTGCACTGTATTCATAAAATGCATCCCATTGGCAGTGCAGATAGCCCCTGTGATCTGTCAGTTGATCACCTGTTTCTGTCTCTTGCAATACATAGTGCAGTTCTTAATGCGAGACACTTGCTGGGTAGCTGTCACAGGTTAAAACCCAATGTGCCATCTGTGAGAACAGCTCCACATCATACTATCAGTGTAAGAAGTATTGAGGGGTAGTGACAAATGAACCACTCTTGTGAATGAGGGCCTGATGATGTTTTCTTCTCTTTCTGGACTACAGAGCTCTTCCGTGTCTCCCTCAGCCAGTTTCAGGACAGCAGAAAAGCACAGAAATTCAACAGATTATTCTTCAGAGAGTAAAAAACAGAAAACAGAAGAGAAGGAAATAGCAGCTCGTTATGTGAGTAGATTGTCTACATTGTGCATTGTTGAAATTCAGTGCTCCTCTCTAATTTCACCCGATTCCTGCTGCATAACTAATTTTAAAATGAAGACCAAATACCCCTAATGTCTCTGCTGGATTAAAGGTTTTGGTGCACACGACTGATACTGTTTTTAACAGTATAAATACAAAGCACCTGGAAGTTGTGTGACAATAATGCTGAACTTTATTTAGGCTGGGTCTTGTCAGTGAAATCTATATTGAACCCACTTCATAGTGCAGTGCCACTTTGGATGAAGATTTTCATCCCATGTCCTTCTCCACCAATGTGAAGATGGGGAGGAATGCTCCAGTTGTGGCAACCTGCTAAGCCCTATAGGTGGCCTAAAGACTTCAATTGTATTACCACATAGATTTTGGTAAAAGTAGAAATGGTACACTGCAGATTTGTGAGCAGCCTTCCTCTGTTTTCATAGTTACTAAGAGACATTGGAATATCAAATAAAATTTTTTAACACATTATGATTTGTCATTGCAGGACAGCGATGGTGAAAAGAGCGATGACAACTTGGTAGTTGATGTTTCCAATGAGGTATACACAGTGGTGGTTTTTCTACCTTGCAGAAATGGTGGTGAGGGTATCTTCAGTGGTTCCTGTGCATATTGGTTTTATGAATAGGATTAGGGCATGTGCCTTCATAAAGGAACTTGATATGCCTGAGGGAATCTGGTTGTATCCTCTTTCTTTAGAATACAAATCAGATCTGAAACACTTCTACAAAGTACTTGTTGTTTCTCCTATGAACAAAAAGTTCTTTTGAGATATTTGAAGCCAGCCCAGCACAACAGAGGGGGTACAGCTTGTAAGAGTATCTGTCTTTTCTTTCACTTTGGCCATAACTTCATGTGTGAACCTTATCAGGTCTGCCAAACACATTGAATCTTTTTAATCTGTCACTTGAAGAAAGAGATTTACTTGCCTGTTTCAATATCCATAGATTCTTGGCATCAAACTTAAGAGTTCTTAAAAAAATAAACAACAAATTGTCCTTCATTATCCCTCCCAATTTTACAATTGTATCAGCTAAATCTATTAAGTATAGAAGAAATATGTCACTTCCTATGACAGATCTTCATTCCAAATTGAGAACTGCTCAAGACAAGAGCTAGTGGCTAGTATGAAGTTTTTATGGTAACCCATGTTCCTGATATTTAGGATCCTTCTTCTCCCCGTGGGAGCCCAGCACACTCTCCACGGGAAAATGGCTTGGACAAGACTCGACTGCTGAAAAAAGATGCACCAATTAGTCCAGCCTCTATTGCATCCTCTAGCAGTACTCCTTCCTCCAAATCCAAAGAACTTAGCCTTGTAAGTACTACAAAATGCTTCTGACCCCTAATCATAGGCTGAAATACATGCTCACCAGATTTCTGTCTGGACAGAATTTGTGTTTCCACAGCTGTTAATAAAACACAGTGAAGCATCAATTAAATATTAGTTTAATTCCTCTTTTCAAAGGAATCTAATGAATTAAAAAGAAAGTCCACATTCTTTTTTGGAGATAGAAAGAGGTAATTTTCACTGGTGATATGAGTAGATGACAGATGGGGTGTTCTGAGAGATATTTTTCTCCTCCCCCATATGAAGAACTGTTATTCTGAGAATAAATAAAAGTACACGGGGGTTTCTTGAGCTGTTTTCCTGTGCTGTGGTTTATAGCAAATTCAGTTCCCTGCTTGGATGTGATTTGGTTGTTAGCTTTGTTTGAATTACCAGGCTATATACAACAACAATAATTTTTATTTTCTATCTAAAAAGTAATCTGTCATTTACAAGAGCCTTCTTTGACTTGCATTGCAAATCATAATGCAGAAGAAAAGAGCTGCCTGCAAGGGGTGTTCTTTCCTTTCCTGTTTGTGGCCACAGTTAATCACCTACCTGAGCTGCACAGTAATTCCCCTCTTGGTTCTTCACAGGGCAGGGTATGCAGTTATTTAAAATAAATAAATAAATAAATAAATAAATAAATAAAAAGCTTAAAGTGAATGTAGTGCTCAGGAAAGGTGATGGAATGACAGGTTCAGGCCTGGGAATCAGTGGTGTGTCTGATGAACAAGCCTGTCACAAGAGCAGCACTGCACAGTTCCTGACTTTATACCCGTCACTGTCTTCATCCTGTGTTTCTATCACCACTCTTGGGTATGAGTAGTTGGTCAGTTTGGGGATTTTTTTTCTGCTCCTCTTGTCCATCCCTCACAGAAAAATTATAATGGGAGAAGGTCCATGAGCATAGTGAGACCACTGACAGATTTCACATATGCTGCCAGTTATCAGATGGCAATGACTTTTCAGTCATTTACCTCATTCTGAATTGTACAGATTCTCCTGATGAGAAAAGCAGTGAAGGCAGTAGTTAATTACCAAAGCCATTCTTGTCTTTTTCAGTGTCTTTGCATCTTCCTTTCATTGACAGGGACTGCTGAAACCCAAACCCAGAAGCTAAATATCACTAATATCACTACTCACTAGCTATAAAGATAAAATAGGTTACAAACTCTCTTCCTTTTTCCTTCTTGGTGATTAGAATGAGAAATCTACCACTCCTGTGTCTAAATCAAATACCCCAACTCCACGGACTGATGCCCCAACTCCAGGCAGCAACTCCACTCCCGGACTGCGGCCAGTGCCCGGCAAACCCCCAGGTGTGGACCCAATAGGTTAGTGTCCAAATATTTTGGTGGTGTGAAACAGCGACCATTTGTCCTTTGTCAGGTTCCCTTTAAATCTGTAATGACAAGTCAGTATATTACAGATGCTTAAACTGGGTGCTGAGCCGGTTTTTCAGCACTGTAATACAGTATTGTGTGTCTTTCCTTGGCTGGCTGGCTGGTTGGTATGGGTTATTTGTGGGGTTTTTTTTTTGCAGTTTTCCAAACTCACGTTTCATCTGATGGGTCTAGAATGCCTCTGTCACTTCTCACTTTCCCCCCCTCTCCTTACAGCTTCAGGTTTAAGGACACCTATGGCAGTACCGTGTCCTTATCCTACTCCATTTGGTATTGTGCCACATGCTGGTATGAACGGGGAGCTCACCAGCCCTGGAGCTGCCTATGCTGGTCTACACAATATTTCCCCTCAGATGAGCGCAGCAGCTGCAGCAGCAGCGGCGGCGGCAGCCTACGGGCGATCTCCAGTGGTAAGTGTTTGCTGGTAGTGCATTTAGTTTTGAGAACTGTTTATATTGAATATAAGACCTGTGGGGTTAACTCTAGTTCACTCACTTTGTGGTTTGGGGAGTATGCTACGGAGAACATGAATTAAACAGTCTTCCTTTGCCTAACTCTTACTTTAATACACCTTTTTGCTTTGCTTGGGGAAAACTATAGGTTGGTTTTGATCCACATCATCACATGCGAGTCCCAGGCATCCCTCCTAATCTCACAGGCATCCCAGGAGGAAAACCGTGAGTATCAAACATTCAGCTTTAAAAGTCAATCATCTGTTGGAAGTCATGTTCCCTTGCTGGTTGGAATTCCCCTTAGCTACTGAAAACTATTGTGTGAATAGAAATAAGTATAGCTATTCAGCAAGAGCAGGAGAATCACTGTGTAATCTTAAAGTTGCATTTGTAAATTTGTTTTGAAGACTAATAGCAGTTGACATGGACTGGGTGATACAAAGTAAAGGAGACAGAAATAAATGGAAAAAGGAGATGAACTTCAAATCTGACTGGCTGGTTGTGTATGGAAATGTAAGCTGGAATGGGATCTCAGCTTTCCATCTCTACTCTGCTTCTCAGTTTAAAAGAATCATTTCTTTGTTCACAAAAGCCTTGCAATTACTTGCAAGCTTAGCAGCTGTATGTAGTAAAAGGAATACTGAAATGTTTTGTTTGATTGAAAATACTGGAAAGAATTATTTTATTATAATATTCAGATTCATCCTTGATGGAACTGACCTGTATAATGTGACCTGCGTTACCAGGCTTTTTGTGTTTTGAGCCTTGGAAGAAGAATTACTGAGACAAAGAACTCTCTGCCTCACATTCCTCATGAGATAGAGAGCAGAAAAACTAGAGCAGCTACACAGACTGGGATCATATTGATCCAGATTTTCTTTAGGATTCATCCAGTTCCACTTCCTTGTGACACTTCTGGGGGACTGTGACCAGTTCATACTGGTTTGATGGCCAAGGGGTATTTGTGCCAATCCTTCTCAAGTTCTTTTATGTGTGAACGTGTTTGTGTAGGAGTGATTGAGGTTAGTCAGGCACTTGGATTTGTGTGATAAATGCACATGTTTACCTGCCAGTGAGCTTGCAGACGCACAGGGTTAGGAACATACGGTGACAAGCGGTCAGGCCTAATGCCTGTAACTCCTCGTGTACACACGTCACACAAATCATGAACCAGGTCCAGATCTCTCAGGCGTCGCATGCTGGTAACCACTTTAATTTACTTCTCTGCTAGTTGTGCCACCCTGTTAGGTGAATGCCTCAGGCAGGTACGGAAGTTGACGTACAGCAGCTTGCAGACCAGCTGCTTGCATTAAAAATTCTGTGGGGCACAGATCTTCATCCATTATATACAGTGGGCTCTAAGAAATGTCTTGATGTAATGTTCAAATGCTTGCTGGATCTAAGTTCATCCCTGATGGAGCCAGTCACCTGGAAAGAAGTGTCTCTGGATCTACTAGGCTTTGCTTGCTGTGGTGAGAGAAATGGCAATTGCAGGGGTTCAGGGACCTACCTGCTCACATCTTACTTCTGTTAAGCTAGAGAGGAATAAAACATGAGGCAAACTGAAATCAAATCACTTAAATTCTGGTATATCTCCAAGATTTTTAAATATTGTGGCTCTGTTGATGTCTATTTTAAACATTTAAATATAACTGTCATTTGTCTACCAGAGGGCTTGAAACTTTTAAAATCTGTGGTTCTTTTAGCATGATTGTATTGAGTTTGTCTTGAGGTGTGATAGTTGTCACATCTTCGGGGATTGTTATTTTCTCATTTATTCCTTTTTCACCTTAAAGGGAAATTTGCGCAAATTCTCTGCGCTGTTGAGTATTATGAAATGGAGTGGGCAGCATATGGTACATTTGGCCCCTAATAACTCTCTTTTCACTTTGGTGTATCAACTCTTGAGTATTGTACAGTATATAAATACTGAAAGATAGTATATAAATAGGAAAGATAGCTAATGCATTTTGTCCCACTGAAAATTATTGATCTGGTGTTAATGCATTATGAATCTTAAATGACAAACTCAGTAGTTTAATTGTAATACTGCCTTCTTTAGTCACTTTGAAGTATCAATTAAGGAAGTGAACTTAAAAAGTATTCTCATAAAACAATTTCTTTGTGAGCTCTTCTCATCCCACTGTTGTGACAATGGATTTTTCATGAGCATTATGATGATTTTTTAGGTGTAAGAAAATTAAAGCCTTCCATTAAGCATACCCTGGTATGTATAGGTAAACCCTCTTAAAAATTTTGTGCTCTTGTAACAGACGTGATGTATCAGGTAGCATCTCAGAACAAGGCAATTTTACAACCTAACTGTTATCCCTGGAAAATACTTTGAGATAAAGCTGTTGATAGGTTATTCACAGGTGGCATAAGAGGCAATCACAGAACAGATTCTTTCTCAGTGAGAGGCCTGATTTTGGCAAGCGAAACTGGGATCTGTAGCGTCCACAAAAAAAAACAAACAAGAAAACCCAAACCCAAAACAAACCACAAAACAGAAAAAATTCCATTGCAGTGCGTTTTCGCTGGTCTGTCATGTCAGCTGTCAGCAACTGTGCCTTGAGGACTTAACTCCTCAGTGTTGGTGGAATTTTCACTGCACCCTTAGGTACAGTGCTGAGCAGTTTTGCTCAAGGGGCCTGGGACCCACAGTACGTTTGGGACAGATTGGCAGCAGTCCAGCTGAAGCTGCCACATAAGAGTCAGTAAAGCGAGCAGCCAAATGTCCCCTGGCACGCAGCTACACACTATGCTCTGGCAGCAACCAGCCAACTATTTCTGTCTTCCAGGGGGCCCTGACCTAACCTTCCTTCCCTTTTCTGCATGCAGTGATATCCCCAAAATATCATCCAAAATTATATATAGCCTCACTCATGCCAGAAATCATCATAATGTGAGTTGTAAAAGCTCATTTGATTGGTGCTTGACTTTCCACATTAAAAGCTGAACACCTATGTTCGTGCTTTGAGGGCCATCATATAGATAAATAAATGTTTTTTCCTTACATGATTAAAATAACTGATAATAGCCCAGTTGAGTAGAGCAGGGTGCTAATAACACCAAGGTTGTGTGTCCAGTCTCCATATGGCCATTCATTTTAGGGATGGACTCGATGATCCTTGAGGGTCCCTTCCAGCTCAGAATATTCTGTGAAATATCTGTGAAAAAATTGAGCTGATGGCACAAAGTGAATACCTGCAGTGGAAGCACATCTTTGATTCTATTTTCCTTAACAGGCTTGAAGTAAAACTCTTTAAATCACCCCCTTAATTTTTTTTCTCCCTCAGAGCATACTCATTTCATGTAAGTGCAGATGGTCAGATGCAGCCAGTTCCTTTCCCTCCCATGCCCGTCAGATCAACACCCTGAACCACGGGGAAGTTGTGTGTGCAGTTACCATCAGCAACCCCACCAGACACGTCTACACGGGTGGGAAGGGCTGTGTCAAGGTCTGGGACATCAGCCACCCTGGCAACAAGAGCCCTGTCTCCCAGCTGGACTGCCTGGTAGGTGAAAAGCAGCATGGAAAGAAGTGAACAGAACACTGAAAGAAGATAGGACCCTGTTTTAAGATTGCAGTGATAGCACTATGGTGTAAAGGGCAAGTGGGTATTTCATTTCTGTGGTGGTATCACAGGTTGGTATGGCATTTGTAATTGTGCTCTTTTTCATTAGAACTGAGGTTGAAGTATGTTCTTCACCATACTTGTGGGTTTTTTCCCCCACAATGAATCAAAACATTTTTAATTTCCTAAGATTGTGGTAGGAGGAAAGATCAAAGACAGCACAGCAAGTATTGTTTATAAACTTTGACATTCGCTGGCAATCTTAGAGCTTGTTGATAACCTATCATGCTAAAAATTGCTGTCTTTCAGCTGTATTCTCTCAGAATATTTGGGGATAGTGTCACCTACTTTGTGTCTGTGTATGTGTATGAATGCATTGACCTGTCTTAATGTGGCAATTAAAAATATCCCTGCATATTATTCACAAATTATTTGAATGTGCTAACAAGATGAACTATTGTTAGCAGCTTTTCTCTTGTCATTTACCAGTTCTTGGTGAGATATTGCTGCTTGTTACAGAGGCAGTAAAATGAGAACTGTGCAGCACATGTAGACTTACAATGAATTGCTACACAAGTTGCTACACAAATGAGGAAAATTGCCCAAATATTTTCCTCTGACATCTCCTAGATGGTGGCAGCAAGTCTCACTGGAACGGGAAGGGGGAAAGTGTGCAGGGAATTTGGTACTCTCCCATGCTGAGAGGTTAATGTGCTGAAATAAACAGAGTATGAAAATACAACTTTCTACACCAGCTGTCAAATTCAGCTATCTTGAATTGTTTTGGGCTGGGTTCAGGTCTTCGCATTTTGATGCTAATTAAGATTAAATATCTTTCACTACTGAATTTTGTAGATCAAGTTGAAGTACTTCCCTAATGTCATGTAATTTTCTGGCATTAATACACTTTATCATTGTCATAAGTATAAATGGCTCATTAAAACCAGGAGGGAATACAATACTTTTATGGATTTCTGCTCTCATGTTAATGCTGTTTTCTTTCCTCATGAGTAATCTCTTGATGGCTTCTGTCTCCACAGAACAGAGACAACTACATCCGTTCCTGCAGATTGCTCCCTGACGGCCGCACCCTGATTGTTGGTGGGGAAGCCAGCACATTATCCATTTGGGACCTGGCAGCTCCAACTCCTCGCATCAAAGCAGAGCTGACATCTTCTGCTCCAGCTTGCTATGCCCTAGCTATCAGCCCTGATTCCAAGGTCTGCTTCTCTTGCTGTAGCGATGGCAACATTGCAGTGTGGGATCTGCATAACCAGACTTTAGTAAGGTAGGTCAACCAAACTGGATCATCAGGTTATGAAGAATTATTTAGACACAGTAGTAAATGTGCTTTTGTACGTATATTCTATTTTCTCCACGCATAGATGCTTCCACTATTTTGTTGTTCAGCATGGCCATGGTAATACCTTGACAAAAGTCTATATGATTACTTATAAGTTTTGAGAGTTTCACAGTTCCAGGCCTTTTGATCAGTCCATAACTACAGTGGCCTAAATATCAGCTGATATCAATACTGCTGTAGATTCCTTGAACAGATGATTTTCTTTGTTTCCATGCAATACATTGCTCTCACTCTAATCTCTTTAATCCAGCAAATATGTTTTGTGTAAAGGTATGTGTAAATTACTGCATTGCAGACTTAGCCTTTCAGGAGTATGGGTTGGGGCTCAACACTGATATACAGTAAGCTCTGGTCACACAGAGCTTCTCTGTGCGCTGCACTTTGTATATGTTGTTACATATAATATCAATGTTGCATGTAAAATAAAGCTTTTACTACCTGATGTTACCATTTAGATTGCTCGTTTTTTTTTTAACATCAGTGACCTGCAAATTTTTCTTAGACTAAGGTAATTTTGCTGATCATACTACAGTCTTCTGGAGGGAATGACTGTTTTGAGTAGTGGGTATCACACAGCCAGCAGCAAAGATTTCCAGAGTACCTGACTCTTAAAGTGTTCCTTTTGAAATCAAATTAGGTGTCTGGCCTAATTGCATCATCAATTCATTGCAAAACTCACATGACTGTCCCGGAGTTCGTTTTAATCTGGGATTGCTATTGGAATCTAAGTTACAACTCAGGAGCTGCAAGAAGGTATTTTGTCCTTTTGCTCAGAATGTACTGATCTTCTTTTAATATTTTCAGGCAATTCCAGGGCCACACAGATGGAGCAAGCTGTATTGACATTTCTAATGATGGCACTAAATTATGGACAGGAGGTCTGGACAATACAGTCAGATCCTGGGATCTCAGAGAAGGGAGACAGCTACAGCAACATGACTTCACATCACAGGTTCAGTCTCAGAACCTTTGGCATGTTAACAAAATTTTCTCATGTTTATTTAAAACAAACATATTTAATTTTTTGTTTTCCTTTATAAGCAAAAAATCAGTCTCAAAGAGAACTCCAAAGGATTTTTCACTTAGTCTCATGTACTCTCATTTTTTTTTGTTTGTTTGTTTGTTTGTTTTCTTGTGGCAGCTAAATGTCTATCTGGATTTTGACTGTTTGACAGATTAGTACCTCTCCCATGAGAGTAAGGGAGAATCGGTTTTATAAAACATGTGCCAGATTAGAATGTTCCTCTCTGCAATCTGTTCCCATTTCTGTAGGTCCAAGGTCAAAAGTATTTTATGAAAATATTTTAAATGCTGTCAGATAAGCTTGGACATTAACTTTTATAGTTTGATTCAATACTTCACTATTGCAGTTTTAATAACATTTAATAGCATAGTTTTGCAGCTGTGTTTGCATGAACTAACTTATCTTCATTACTGCAGTAATTGGATTGTCATGTTTTTAAAACTGCAGTAGACCAAAAATGTGAGTTTGCATAGTGCTAACAGTGTAGCAAGGGTCAGTTTTGAATATCTCAAGCTCATTCCTTCACTGACTGAAGCATGTGCTGTGCTGATTACAGATCTTCTCACTGGGCTATTGTCCAACTGGTGAGTGGTTGGCAGTAGGAATGGAGAACAGCAATGTCGAGGTGCTGCATGTTACTAAGCCAGACAAGTATCAGCTGCATCTTCATGAGAGCTGTGTGCTGTCACTCAAGTTTGCTCACTGTGGTAAGCAAATCTTTCTATATCAGTGTTTTCCTTCACGAAAAATTCATTCAAGGTTACCCTTAAATTTAAGTGCAATATAGTTATTAAATTACAGAGTGTAGTTGAAAACTAGGTATTAAATTTAAGTATTATGGTTATTCAGAAAACTCTGTCTGACTGCTTTTTTCTAGGTACTGCTTATTTTGTGATGGAACATCATAGTGCAACCAGATGAAAATGTTGCTGTTCTTTGGCTATGTGTGAATGCTTTGTTTTTACAATCATCTGTTTCTTGAGGTATATTCCTTGAAAACAAAATGCAGTAATAACATTTAAACAATCTGTTGCAGGCAAATGGTTTGTAAGCACTGGAAAAGATAATCTTCTTAATGCTTGGAGAACACCTTATGGAGCCAGTATATTCCAGGTAATAATCTCCTAAAAGCTGTTTTCCACATACATTACAGTGCAGTAGAGCTGCACATCTCAGGGTCTGTCAGTAGCCTAAGGAGTTTTCAGGTGGAAATACAGCTAATTACTGTAGTCCTTAAAGAGTTTGTCTGTAATTAGAGAAAGAAATGTTTTTGTCCTTTTTACTGTTTCACTAATTCAGCTCTTACAGTAAAGTAGCCCTTTAATCTAAAATTGTTGTTAATAGTCTTCTTTCTCAAATTATTCTGCATATTAGTGGAATACAGTACCCAAGTCATGTTGTTAGGTGAACAGTCACTGAAGGTCTGAAATGTAGCAGTGGAAGTCATACCATGAATGTGTATTTTTCTTAGATGATGTGTTGGTAGATTGGACCAGCAGACTCCTGAGCTGAAAACTGAAGCGATAAGGAATATATTGAATATTTATACTGAAGTATAACTGAAAGCTGCAACCTATCTATAGTCCCTCTGTGCCCAGTTTTAATAGCATTTCAGTACCATTAGAAAAATGGGACTTTTGGCATGTCTTTCTGTTCTTTCACCTGCAGGCACCTGTAGATTTGGAATTTTTTTACAAAATTTAACTGTTTAACTGGCTCTAGTGTAAATGACCAGTCTCATGTGCACTGATGACTGCCATGTCTCTGCTTTTGGAGACAGTGCAGTTTATGTTGATAAGAGTAAGGTAGGTTCTAAGTTTTCCTAGTAGAGGCTGTTCATTTCTAGAACCAACCCCCAAAGACAGCCCAAATCATCCTAACAAGAGCACATTCCCCTTAAAAGTGATATTAAAAACTCCAGTATGACGTTCTTACTGAGGGGTAGATAAGGAAATTTCTAGTGCAGTGAACAGAGGTGTTTTTGCCAAAACACAGCATGACTGGGAAGTGTTTAGCTCTTGTGGTAACAGGCAGAAAATCACGTGGACATGTATCTTTATGTAAAGAAGACATGCACTGAAACAGCAAGGTAAATGTGACAATGCATACACGTCATCTTAGAACAGACAGCAAAGCCAGAAGAGGCAGAGCTGCTGCAACATGCTTGTATCCTGTGTCCCATCCAGCTCCTACACACTTGTTGTGTATCCTGTTCTACCACGGTGTTTTTTCCTAATTGCGTCCTCTGTGATGAATTCCTTGGTGCAATGCTTTCGTCTTCTTGTGTTGGGGAAGTAGTGAGAGGAGAAAGATTTATTTCTATGGAGTCTCTTTGTTTCATACCTGTGGATAGGTAGGGCTTTGAAGTATTTCTCTGTGTGAATTTCTTGTTTACAACAAAGGAAGTGGGAAGAAGATGGGTTTTCATTCATTTTTATGCAAATCAAATGCATAAAATATTAATAAATTCTCATCCTTGTAAAGTATATAGAAAGCACTACTTCTGTTTGTTTGATTGATAGATTACCTTTAGGCCCATAATATTCACTTCCCTCTCTACCACTGCTTTATTTTACAATAGATCATACTGTGGAACAAAAGTATTTAAAAAAATTTGCCTCTATGGTACTGATACTTTAATGAGCTTTTCATGTATTCCCTATCTATAAATTCTTCCAATTAATCTTCAAGCCCTTCAGGATTGAAGGACTGGAAAGATGTAATTTTCTTTTTCCTTTTCTCTTTTCTTGTAGTCCAAAGAATCCTCATCTGTGCTTAGCTGTGATATCTCTGTGGATGACAAATACATTGTCACTGGCTCTGGGGACAAGAAAGCTACAGTCTATGAAGTTATTTATTAGAGACAAATCTGAATGCAGACAGAACTCCTTCTCCTAGCACTTTGCTGTATATTCTTTTTTTTTTTTTTTTTTTTTTCTTTCTAAACTGAAAACTTAAATGCTCATCACAGTTGTAGAATTTACTTTTACCTTCTTAACTTGCTATTGATTTGTGAATGTTCATTAAGAACTCGTGATACCAAATTGTCAGATATCTACTTGGAAGAAGATGGAAAAAGCATACTTAATGGTGACCTTGACTCTTTAATTATATATTATAGCTGTAATGTATTTATTTTGTTTAAAGAAGGCTTTCTAACAATGAACTAACTAAATAAAGCTGTCTGGCCCGGCTTTAGTTTGCAAGATGCATCATATACTTGTGTTTTTGCAGGTGGATAAATTGGGGATCTTGGAGAAGGATGTTCAGGAGATAGTTAAAATTACACTAAATAGACTTGTAGTTTCTATTTAAAAAAATAAACTTTGTTATATTTTTTAGTCCTGTTCTTGGATGAGACCTCTAAGTGTTATTACAGTATAATTATTTGGTGGGAAGATGCTGTATCTTAACTATTTTAGACAGTCTTGGAAACTTAGGAAATTGCAAACCGTAGCCAGTGATCTACATGCCTGTGATGAATGGCAAATTCAGTTCACATCTAAATTAAATTCACTTTAAGTAAGAATGTGCTAATTTATATATTTGCAATGTTAATATAGCATCTTGTGTACAGATTTGTTCTCAATGCTTTTCTGTTGATAAACATAAAGCATTTTGGTGTCAAGCTAGGTTTTTTAATATAAACACCTCTCTTTGTTATATTGTAGAGAGTACAATAAGTTGCCTCAAAGAATCACCTTTGTTACTTCTGGAAACTTTTGCAATGTTTCCTTGAAAATGGGGATATGTGTCTTTAGGCAATTTTTCAATTACAAGAGATTATGAAAAATATTTGATATGTTCTTTGGAAACTGCACTGAAATAAGAATGGATGCCTACCAATATACAAACTACAAAAGCAATGACCTCTGAGGTAGGATGTAAAAGAGTACTCATTCCGACATACAAAAAGGAATGGATTCTCATTGGGATAAGGACTTGCTTTGTTCGCCAGCAGTTCAATCCAAGTCTTGGTTGGATGTCCCTAAAACGGACGCAGACTGAGCCATTGTGCCAGAGACAACGTGTTATCTTTTTATGTTGTTGTTGTTGCTGTTAAACTATGATCTGTGACTTTTTTTTTTTTGAATGCTTTAAAAAAAAAATCTTTAAGTCTGTGGATCTGCTGATGTACAGTGCCTTTGCTGCTATGGATCAAAATCAAGAGACCCGTGTAGATAAATCTTATTGTATAAGTAGAAAATTACTTAATTTCATACTAGAAATGGATTGATGCTGCAAGTTAAAATGGACTGTTTATTGAAGTTCCAAATGTGGTAGCAAAAAAATGGTGTCTTAAGTGCTTAGTGTTTGATGTCATTAACAGTTTCGTAATACTCTACATTGTAGAAAGATTTTGATACTAAACTGTGTCATTGTACATAGTTCTAATGCATTGTATTGACCACCAGTACTTCTATAATGGTAGATTATTGTTTGTGCATTCAGACTTTTAAGCATTAAACATAAGTAACTTCTAAGATGCATTTTTCTTCTTTTTTCACCACTTCCCTCTTTGTTGTGTGTGCTAATCTCAGTCACACATGCAGCCGTTCGTTTACAGAACATACCACTACAGATACTTGTGGTTTTGCCACTGAAACACAATGTAGAGTTTCAGCTGAGATAGTGAAACCTATGAATTTATAGTTTCTCAGTTACCTGACTGCACTGATTCTGAACACTTGGAAGCATCAGACTTTGCCTGTCACCTAAGAGTTTGCTGTTTCCCAGTTTTGTGGTTTCCCATCTGACATCCCTACGTTATCCCATACCTTGGGAGAGAGTGAAGTTGAGGACCATTACTGCTCACATGCCCAGTGAGTATGTGGAGCTCAGCAGGATTTGGGAGGGGTGTTGCACTTGCAGCATTACACCACGGTTTCCTCATCCAGACCTAAAGTCTATTCGCTCTCACAGACAGCCAGCTCTCACCGACGTTTGGGTTTAGATCAAGGATTTAGTCCAGCTTCCATGAAGTTAATGAATGCAAGTTAAAGTGAGCTGGGTGCAAATTAATGCACTCCTGGGAGGGGTGGCAGAGGGAGGAGCTATGCTGTCTGTAACAGGAAAAAAGGAAATGGAAAAAATCCAAGGGAAAATCTGAATTTTGTTCTATAACCCATTTCTGAAATGATGCTGGGCATGGTGGAAGTCCCCAAGCATGCAAGCCTGTTGTGATATGACAGGCTGTGGTGACTGCTGGTACATGAACCCAAGCTTAGAAATATTTTGGGTTTTCTTGAAATGTCAAAACAAGACGTAGGTTGATGAAGTTATTTACTTGTACTCTGAGTGATTAGGTAATACTTGTTGATGGGGGAGAATTTCCTGCAGAGCTATTAGTTCCTTAGAGTTAACAGTGAAGAGATCTCACCCAGAATAATGTAAGGTTTCACTTCTGCTAAAGTTCTGTGCCACTTCATACAATAATGCTCCTAATGCTCCATAAAAGTAAACAGGGTACAGATACATTCTGTTAATATTTACTCTTCTCTGAAGAAATAGTATTTACTAGTTATAAACATACTGGAGACACCTTACCTTTTCAAAGCCATTCAAAAATGTAAAAGGGTGTAATAGGGTGTATACCATTTACTAAAAAAAAGAAATCACCTGCCAAACACTTAATGTTTGGAGAGGATGTTGTATTTTTATGTAGTAGTTCAGGCATGAGATTACTTAAAACGTGTAAGATAAAGCATTCCTTTAAATAGAGTAAAACATTACCTACACCTGAATTTGTAACAAAGCTAGTTTTGACAGCAAAGTAATACATACTTTTGAAGCAGCCTGCCATATATGTGCTTATTCATGTTTGTATTGATGGCTTGTAAGCAGTGTAGGAATCAAATGCTTTAATCCAGGATTACTGCAGTTAAATGTGTAGTTATCCTGATTTTTTTTCCCCTTCAAGGCTGAATGCAAGTTAGAGATGGTACAGAGCTACTTTCTGTTTTCCAGTTATACATACATAGGGTCATGTTCCTTTTTCATTCATTAGTTTTGTTTGCAAATGCACAGCACTATTTTGTGTAGTGTTTTGAAGCAAATGTGTTTTGTGCCACAAATTTTAGGCAAAAGTACTCCAAATTCAAGGTACAACCATTTCTTTCTCTGCATTCTTCCCTTCTTAAGTGTTGTTTAGTGACGTTCCTTTTTAATTTTTATATATTTTCTGACTGGTCAGTATAGGTAGGTTTAAAGGGAACACTTTCTATCAAACCAGTGTTTTCTAAAGATATGCTATTTAAAATTGTATTTCTCTGTTTCTTTTTAGCCAAAAGTGATTTCTCTCTCCTATTTCTTAAGCTACTCCATTGCATAAAAAGAAAATAAGATTTACTTTGCTAGCCATGATTTTCATGTATGAGGGATTTTAAGTCCGTACTGGAATAGTTCAAATTGGATTTGGTGTATTGCATTGAACTCTGGCACCTGAAGAACATATAAAATTCCTTCTTCCTGAAAAGTTGATAGCTGTGTGGGAGAAGCAGGAAGATAGCTATGCAGGTCTACATATGCCTGGACTGTATTCTACAAAAACATGCAAGGTCCTTGGCACAAACAAACGCTTCTTTTGTTACTACCCTATTTATTTCTGATCATTCCAACTGAAATACAGATGTGACAAGCTTCTACTCAAGGATTTGTTGTGAAAGAAAATTAAACAAAATGAAATTAAAAGAAAATTAAGCAAAATGAAATAAAAGTATAAAATAGAATAACAGAAAATAAAAAAAAATACAGTTTCTGTATGTGCAGGAGTCTAGAAATTAAAAGCATAACTTGGGTAGCACTGTTTCTCACTTATGTTGAATATACTACGTATTTGTGGCACCAAATTAACACTGCATACAGCAATACAGGAACACTTTAGAACATAAAGTATGGCTATGGAGAAGAATGCCACTTAGAATCTTTCAGAGCAAATGCACTCTGCATAGTTCATCCAAAGAGCTGCTCTCACATGGTATGTAGGAGGGTAGCTGCCTTCAGCACTGGAGGGCTTTTCTGATACTAACATTTTGCAGTGACTGCAGTGGTTTTGAAGAGGGTTGAGCAGTTTGGGAAGAACAGCCAGCCAGTTCTACCATATATTTACATGAGAATCCTGTTCCCAGACATAGCAGGAGATGAATCCTGGAGTGGTGTGCTGTAGAATATCATCTCTGACAAGCTCTTAAATAATGCACCTGCCACGTCTGCTTTTGAACCAAGAGTTACTGAACATAGCCCTTGAGATTTCACGTTTCTTCCAGTATTTGGACTACAGCGTTTCCACTGCACAGCAAGAAATTTTTATGTCAAAACCAATAAATGTTCTTACTCTTACCAAATGATTTTCTGTCCCAGTTACAAGGAAACAGTATTATAGTGTCTTTTTTTATTATTAAAAATGGTGTAGTCTGACATTTACAACATGTCCATAAACCTGCCAGGGAGTGCAAAGAAGCTCTTCTGTGGGGTCACTTTGACTCACATGGTTATGTTCTAAAACATTGCAGAAATAAATTTTTCCTTGTTTTGGGAGAGATTAACCTGCGATATCACATGCACAATGTACAAATTGAGGGGAGGGACTGTCTAGTGGCTACTTCTGCATCTGTGATTTGGACTTAGCTGATTACCCCAGAATGCTAAAATGCATCTGAAGGGTAAAATCAGTAAGTACAAATATTTAAGGATTTTTTAAAAAAAATCTGCTGTTCTACAGTAATTATATTGACCCAAACTGTCTTTTAATGTCATATCAAGCTAAGCATCTGTATTACACTTGCTTTTCATATTCAAATAAAAGAAGGGGGTGGAGAAATTTTAAGCTAATCTTTACCTTTCAATCAAATCTGTCTTTAAAAAATACCCCAATGCTAGTGCTTGAAGAAGTAATTTTCTTGGGTTTATTGTCATTATACTTGAAGAATTTGATAACAAATATGCTGTAGCACAATCCACAGTAATGCCACAAATGAGAATAGGTGATACAGCTGCTATCAGAAGTTGGGGTTTAGAGAATGCTGGGGGAAAAGTTCGATTTGGTGGTCAGAAGTGTTAATTCATTTCCTGATAAAAAACAATATGGAATTTTAGCTGCATATTTTAATGCGCTGTCCAGTATGGCTTAGGGCTTCACGGGGTTTCAGCATTTCTGTCTTGATCTTTTTAACTGTAATTTAGGACACATTTGATGAAAAAATGGTAATTAAGAGCAACTTTGATCCTAGGACCATGGGCAAGAGGTGTCATGTGGAATGAGTTGCTCTGCTTCTGATTCCAGCCTGTGCTCTGTGCTGCCTGACACCTAGTGAAATGATTTGCATGAGCCCTCTGTAAAGTGTTTTTATGTTCTCCTTCACAAAAGGCATTATCTAAGGGCTAGCTATCCATTATTTTGAAAAATTTGTCACAGCTGTATTGAAATATAGGGAGGCATTTTCTGTAGGGAAAAGAACAAGGAGGACCTCTGGGGAATCAAGCATTTCAACTCCTTATCAAGCACTGTAAATGTGCAAATGAGGCAGTCACACTGCTGTGTTATAAACTGTCAGTCTTCTGCTAGAGTGGGAAGAAAAAAACCCTTAAAATATATGATACAAAGATAATAGACTATCTTGTGTTTCAGCATGGCTTTAAGGTATTAGGTATGAAGTCCAATTTGCACTCATTTTAGAATAAATAAGCATGAATCCTCTTGTGATATTAATGGCCGCCTAACAAAAAAAAGAATAGCAGCTGAAAGAATGAGGATAGTTACCAGGCTTTCTTGTCTCTAACATGAGGCAATATTATAGAAAAAAAATCTGCTCATTTTATAACCTCGTGTGAGCAGCGATGTTAATATTCCAATGAAAATATTTTTTCTAAAGCAATGCTAATGTCATCCTCCCATTTGCCTATGCACACGTCTTTGCTGAATAAAAAAATTCCCACCTCCATTGAAAATTAGCTTATTTTACCCAAGCTTTTAAGAATAATTAGAATAGCTTCTCTATGTCATAGCAGTTTTAGGGTTTCTTGCAGGTTGTGTGTGATTCCAGTGATACTTTCTCACTTTTTCATCTCCCTCTGAGAACCTTCCTGAAGCTAGAGTTCATAGCTGCGAAGATGCTCTTGCTTGTGGCTTGGTCTTGCTCTCAGGGGTTGCTCAGTGAATGGGAATGGGAAGCATTCACAGGATTTTGCTGGCTGTAACAACTGCTGTAACAGCTGTTACAGACTCACTTATGCCTCCTCCTTTCTCTGAGCAGTCTTAAATAAAGAGATGCAGTAGGAGCAGTCCTTTGTGCAGCTGACCCTTCTGCTTTACCAAGTTTCACAGGTGCTCATCATCTGGAAATGACAGAGGAGGAGAAGCAGCTAGGAGTTCTAGGTAGGCTCAATGTGCCAGTGGAGACAGCCATGAAAAAGACAAATGTGATACAGGATGTGTCTGGAGAGGCATTTGCTGCAGAAATAGGGTAGTATTGCTGCCATTCATTAT